CAAGAAGCACATACCACGTTCTTTATCTTTTACAACTTTGAAAGTTGCTGTTTGCTGCTGGCCACTTGGTGTTGTGGGCCTTGTGCTCAGCGACTGTGTTTATAACAGCAAACCCACGCACACATCGCTGACGGCCAACTTAGAACTGCCGCACTCTCGCCATCATTACACGAACGTTCGTTTTGCCGAATGTTCAGCGTCTGGCGCAAACAATCGTGAATGTTGTGCAGTGCCGTCGTTTTTATTTCTTCCAGCGGATTTACAACACCGTCTGATCAAATGCCAGGGCAGATATTTCAGAGGCACGACGCAGAGTGGATGTGCCATCTGCCGTGAGCCGCGGAGGGTTTGATATTTCAGTGTTTGTGGTGCGCAGGATGATGACACCTGAAACACAAACATCTCCAATCTTCCGATGTGTGCAAAGACAGCAAGCTAAAAGGATAATGAAACGAATCATTTGCGTTTTATAGAGAGTCATTCATGCTCATTGCATCTCACAATGCTGTGCGACAATCATATGCATAATTACATTAAGGGCTACAGTGAGGGAAACAAGTATTTGATCCCCTGCTGATTTTGTACGTCTACCCACTGACAAAGAAATGATCAGTCTATAATTTTAATGGTAGGTTTATTTGAACAGTGAGAGACAGAATAACAACAACAAAATCCAGAAAAACGCATGTCAAAAATGTTATAAATTGATTTGCATTTTAATGAGGGAAATAAGTATTTGACCCCTCTGCAAAACATGACTTAGTACTTGGTGGCAAAACCCTTGTTGGCAATCACAGAGGTCAGACGTTTCTTGTAGTTGGCCACCAGGTTTGCACACATCTCAGGAGGGATTTTGTCCCACTCCTCTTTGCAGATCTTCTCCAAGTCATTAAGGTTTCAAGGCTGACGTTTGGCAACTCGAACCTTCAGCTCCCTCCACAGATTTTCTATGGGATTAAGGTCTGGAGACTGGCTAGGCCACTCCAGGACCTTAATGTGCTTCTTCTTGAGCCACTCCTTTGTTGCCTTGGCTGTGTGTTTTGGGTCATTGTCATGCTGGAATACCCATCCACGACCCATTTTCAATGCCCTGGCTGAGGGAAGGAGGTTCTCACCCAAAATTTGACGGTACATGGCCCCGTCCATCGTCCCTTTGATGCGGTGAAGTTGTCCTGTCCCCTTAGCAGAAAAACACCCCCAAAGCATAATGTTTCCACCTCCATGTTTGACGGTGGGAATGGTGTTCTTGGGGTCATAGGCAACATTCCTCCTCCTCCAAACACGGCGAGTTGAGTTGATGCCAAAGAGCTCCATTTTGGTCTCATCTGACTACAACACTTTCACCCAGTTGTCCTCTGAATCATTCAGATGTTCATTGACATACTTCAGACGGGCATGTATATGTGCTTTCTTGAGCAGGGGGACCTTGCGGGATTTCTGTCCTTCACGGCGTAGTGTGTTACCAATTGTTTTATTGGTGACTATGGTCCCAGCTGTCTTGAGATCATTGACAAGATCCTCCCGTGTAGTTCTGGGCTGATTCCTCACCGTTCTCATGATCATTGCAACTCCACGAGGTGAGATCTTGCATGGAGCCCCAGGCTGAGGGAGATTGACAGTTCTTTTGTGTTTCTTCCATTTGCGAATAATCGCACCAACTGTTGTCACCTTCTCACCAAGCTGCTTGGCAATGGTCTTGTAGCCCATTCCAGCCTTGTGTAGGTCTACAATCTTGTCCCTGACATCCTTGGAGAGCTCTTTGGTCTTGGCCATGGTGGAGAGTTTGGAATCTGATTGATTGATTGCTTCTGTGGACAGGTGTCTTTTATACAGGTAATAAGCTGAGATTAGGAGCACTCCCTTTAAGAGTGTGCTCCTAATCTCAGCTCGTTACCTGTGTAAAAGACACCTGGGAGCCAGAAATCTTTCTGATTGAGAGGGAGTCAAATACTTATTTCCCTCATTAAAATGCAAATCAATTTATAACATTTTGACATGCGTTTTTCTGGATTTTGTTGTTGTTATTCTGTCTCTCACTGTTCAAATAAGCCTACCATTAAAATTATAGACTGATCATTTCTTTGTCAGTGGGCAAACGTACAAAATCAGCAGGGGATCAAATACTTTTTTCCCTCACTGTACATTCTATTTATGGCAATTGTTCATTCAATTAAACGCTCGGAAAATAAACGTGAATAAACGAGCCAAGAAATGGTAGAATAACAAAAGGTATAAACAACAACAAAAAGTGACCACATCAGAGATGAACAGAGTACAACATCGCATATCTGACCATCGCAAATCTGGCCATCACCAATCAACCGGCTTCGCCCAGAGCCGTACAGAGCAGTCGGTGTGCAGCTGTCACTTTCCACGGGACGTTCACACGCATCAGACCTTTTCATCACAACAGATGGCGCACCGACTATGACGACCACCATCTCTCATCGACGTTAGCAGCTCCGATCCTCTGGATGTGTGCCTAAGCTGTTGTATCATGGGGTGTCCAGCATGAGTTTAGAAAATCAGTGACAATCACTGTAACGATACGGCCCTTACTTACCGTGCGGAAATAATGATGATTTTTTTAATAATAATGATGATTTTTTTTAAATCAAAATCATAGTCTTTATTTAGGATGGAAGAATCCTTTGAGCTATGAAGCTCTTTTTCACAGATGTCCAGCAGGTGTGGTTCAGAAAGTTACAACAACAAACAAACAACGCAATACAAATATAGAACGCCTCAACAGGAGTGTAAAGTAGAGGAAAGCGAAGCAAGTGACGAAAATATAAGTAAGAAAAATAACATTTAAAGGCGCGCTCCCCCCGGCATCATTGTCAGTTTGGGGGACTTTTTGTAGCAAATCGTCTTTTGTAACGCACCGCCACCGCTGGCACCGCACGGCGTTCGCTCGCTCGCTGTTGGAGAGAGAGAGAATTACTCGGAGGTGTGAGCAGGAACGACGGACAAGCGGTAAATGTAGTCGCTAGGCAGTGAGCTGCCACCAAATTCCTTCCCCTCCCTGCCAAAGGTCTGCAGTCCTCAACATAATAAGATGTGTTTCGTACTCTTTGGTTTTATTCGGTAAAGTCACGTAGGTAAAAAATAAAATAACAAAAAATCACGACGTTTCGGCCACAACACAAGTGGCCTTCATCAGGTGAAGGGACTGGACAGCGCTGGAGTGAACACAGCCAAGCCCAGACCGCGTCCTTCAAGCTGTGTGGGAGGAAACAGAGCGCCTTGACAAAGGAGTTAGCATAAACATGAGCATGTAATTGGGGGATTAGCTTGGGGAGTTTACATATAAATTAGCATGTAACTGGGGGACAAGCGTAATGTTGGTGTGAAGGGAAAATAAGCAGCTGCGAAAGTTTGGGATACCACTACTTGAAAAAATATACTGTGCCATTGAAAATTAATTTAATGTTTGGTTTGATTTAGAACGTCTTTCCAGTGATTGCTTAATTTGAAACCATCCTCTCGGTTGAAATTGTGTCTGTGTTTGTAAATCTGAATTGCCTCGTGGACAAATCTCTGATAAAAACCGGTAGGTTTGCAGAGAACCTTGGTATCGGAGAAAACTATATCGTGGTCACCCACAGCGTTGTAACAGTGATCAGCCACGGCAGAAGAATTCGTTCTTCCGTGTTTCAAATCTGATTTGTGCTCGCGAATTCGGTCAGAGACATGTCGTTTCGTCTGCCCGATATAGCAGTCACCACAGGTGCAGCTCAATTGCTAGGGGGCGTTTCAGAAAGTTGCAACCACAAACAATGCAAAACATACGAAAGTAGAGGAAAGGTGATATATATGCAGATTGATATGCAAATTACACGCTCAGGTTACACGCTCGCCCAAAACGGAGAGAAGCCTGACCTGTGCGGACGAGTTGGAACAAGCCAGGAACCATGTGAATGGGGACGATGATGGCTACGAGGCGTCACGCCGTCTTGCGTCTTCGGTCGCGTCCCTCTTTTGGGAGAGCGACGCGGGTTTACGGCGCGGGTTCACGGCATGGGTTCACGGTGCGGGTTCACCGTGCGGGTTCACCGTGCGGGTTCACGGTGCGGGTTCACGGTGCGGGTTCACCGTGCGGGTTCACGGTGCGGGTTCACCGTGCGGGTTCACCGTGCGGGTTCACCGTGTGGGTTCACGGTGCGGGTTCACGGTGCGGGTTCACGGTGCGGGTTCACGGTGCGGGTTCACGGTGCGGGTTCACTGTGCGGGTTCACCGTGCGGGTTCACCGTGCGGGTTCACCGTGCGGGTTCACTGCGCGGGTTCACGGTGCGGGTTCACTGTGCGGGTTCACTGTGCGGGTTCACGGTGCGGGTTCACGGTGCGGGTTCACCGTGCGGGTTCACCGTGCGGGTTCACGGTGCGGGTTCATGGTGCGGGTTCACGGCGCGGGTTCACCGTGCGGGTTCACGGTGCGGGTTCACGGTGCGGGTTCACGGCGCGGGTTCACGGTGCGGGTTCATGGTGCGGGTTCACAGTGCGGGTTCACGGTGCGGGTTCACGGCGCGGGTTCATGGCGCGGGTTCAGGGTGCGGGTTCACCGTGCGGGTTCACGGTGCGGGTTCACGGTGCGGGTTCACGGTGCGGGTTCATGGTGTGGGTTCACGGTGCGGGTTCACGGTGCGGGTTCATGGTGCGGGTTCACGGTGCGGGTTCACGGTGCGGGTTCACGGTGCGGGTTCACGGTGCGGGTTCACCGTGTGGGTTCATGGTGCGGGTTCACGGTGCGGGTTCACGGTGCGGGTTCACGGTGCGGGTTCATGGTGCGGGTTCACGGCGCGGGTTCACGGCGCGGGTTCACGGTGCGGGTTCACGGTGCGGATTCACGGTGCGGGTTCACGGCGCGGGTTCACCGTGCGGGTTCACCGTGCAGGTTCACCGTGCGGGTTCACCGTGCAGGTTCACCGTGCGGGTTCAGGGCGCAGGCCCCCCCCACCCCCACCCCCCCCCCCACTCCAACCGTGTTTTGTCTGTGCAGGTTAAGGAGGAGCTCATCACCCCCAAGGAGTTCGTGTGTCTGGCCGGGCGCGCGAGCCTCAAGGACTGGAAGAGGGCCATCCGCCTCGGAGGGGTCATGCTAAGGTCGGCGAGCCGCGGTGTTTGCTTTTGTTGTTGTTTTGCTACGGTTTTTTTGGTCGATCAACTTTTTTCTGCTCGTGTCCCACTGCTCTCTAATTGTTTCATTTTTTTCACTCGTGCGTTCGTAACTATAGGACGCACTAAAGGTGTTTGTGTGCCCTTTTAGTGATGAGTTCAGAAATAAGTCCGTGACCTCCTGGGTGAAAATTGGTGAAACGTCTTTGCCCAATCCTGGCCAGCCTGGTTCAACACTGAATAAATAAATTGAATGAAGACACTCAGCTCAGAATCACTCACGCCATCACCCAGCAACGATCCTACGAATCGTCATAATTCAGGGTTGCGATTCGATTCTCTTTTTAGTTACCGTCCCATTTCCATTCATTCTTGGCTTTTGTGTATGTTTTGTACAGACTTCACCGCCCCTCATGGTGATGCGATGCCAGGATCGATCTCAACTCGCTCTCGCTCACTTCATTTTACTCTTATTTGTCAATCATTATTTTTGCATTCACTTAAATGTAACATTTAGACTCATTCATACACCTTTTTGCAAAGCGCGGCAAACTATCGTTTCTCACACGCAGGGGTTTGACAGGTGTACCGCGGGCAATTTAACACGTAGGCTCTCGCGACCAATATTATCCATGAGAGCGAAACAGGACGAGGCGATGTCTCCACAACTCTGGCTGCCGCCTGGTGAGGCCGGCTGTAGCTACCGGCGAAACGTCGCGGTGCTCGAATTGTAAATGTCGCGGGCACGTGACAAACCTTACTAATTGGCCGTGTCGGGCGGTGGCGGGTTTAGCGACACATTTATTTTTACGCGATCTAATCCCCAAAAAAAACCTCTTATGACGTATCGTGGGCATAGAAGTCAACCGGATTGTGTGACATGACGACTCGACTCGACACCACGGCCCAGCCGATTATGGAGGTTGGCAAGACTCGGTGATCCTCCAACCCTTGGTCTCCACAGGCACGCGCCACCATGCCAGGCAAACCTGCTGGACATCTGTGAAAAATAAATTGAAAGCTCCTCGGATCCGTCCAGTATAAATATATATATTCCGATTCTGCTTCTGAAACCAATAGCGCACCCCTGCCACCAGAAACAAACTCCAAGAACCTCGCAAGGTGGCACTGGTTACAGCACCTGACATGTATATATCGTGGGTTTCAATTCCTCTTCAAGAAGGGATATAGACAAGAGATATAGACGTAGCGAGATGAGGTGAGGTGAGATAGTTGGGACAAGATAGCGATTAGCCAGGAGGTGGTGGCTATGCACGTGTCCTGTAATCCAGCAGTGTAGACGCAGCAAGGGTTTGTGGATCACACAGACGTTGCGAAACTACCTCCCTGTCGGAGTCGAGGAGATTCCGTGCCCTTACTCACCAGGAGAATGCGACGTGGACCAATATCACCTGTCTGTATGGGATAGAGTGTTGCCCCCTCGCATGTGTAGGCTTTATGCAGGTGCTCCGGTTTGCTCTCACATGTATAATAGACGCTCCCTCAAATATATTTTTAGTTCGATCTTCTTAATAGTTTTGCGCTTTTGCTCGCTCACGCCTGGCTGCCGGCCGCTGTCCCCCCTCGTGCACCGCGCCCGTCTCTCAGGAAGGTGATGGACGCCGGGCGGCTGGACTTCTACCAGCACGACACCGCCTGCTCCTCCAGCTGCCGCAGCACCAAGCATGAGCCCCGCGGTCTGGGCGGCCCCGGGGGGGGCGCCGCCGCCGCCGCCGCCGCCGCCGCGTCCCTGTGGCCCGGCGGCGGGCGGCCCTCCGGCTGGCCGGGCAGCTTCTTGAAGGGCGACCGCCGCTACGTCGTGAGCGGCTGCGGGCAGCACCAGCGCAGGGGCGTCATCAAGCAGCGCGCGAGCAAAGCGGGCGAGGACGCGACGGCCCTCAACGTCGGTGGCCACAAGCAGCAGCTGCAGCAGCTGCAGCAGCTGCAGCAGCTGCAGCAGCAGCAGCATCAGGAGCAGCAGCAGGCAGGGGCGGCACAGCGGCTGGCGTACAGCAACGGGCACGGCAGCCTGAGCGATGCCGTGAAGCGCGAGTGGTCGGAGGAGAGCAGGCGAGCGAACGCGATGGGCGAGGGAGCGGGCCGGGCGGCCGGGCGGCCGGGGCACGACGGCTCGCTGAGGGCGAGGGAGGCCGTCAAGCGGAGCGGGGAGGCCTCGGTGGGCGGCGGCGGCGGCGGCGGCGGCAACAAAAGGGGACGCTTCGGCGCGGGTTCGGCCACGGCCGCGGCCGCGATGATGAACGGGCAAGCGGCGGTGACGCACGCCGGGGAGGACCGGGCACAGAAGCTCACGATGGTCGCCAGAGCGGACCGGGCCGACCAGAGCTGCTCCCCCGATTCCGAGCAGGACAGCGACTTGCCAGGTAGCGGCACCGCACGGTTTGTCGAGCGGTCATCGTCGCCGTCGCCTGCTACCGCGTCGACTTTTGCTCGCGGTGCCCGGTCGAGGCTTTTGCTGGGTGAAGAGACGGCACGGCCAATCGCTGCCGCGCTGCGTCCCGTGGTGTCGCAAACGGCCCCTGCACTGTGCCGGCACGATGCAATTCGGACATCTTAATGTGGCTACGTCTTGAGAGTCTTTGTGTGATCATCATGGGAGACGTTGCATGTCTCGTGTTTGTGTCCAGAGGGGGTGGGTGGGTGGGGGGGGGGGCGCTCTTACGAGAGCGGAGAAAGAGGGATAGAGACTGTTGGTGGTGTTGACGACGGTGTGCTTTTGACCTCTTTAAATATTTGTATTGTTTTAAAATGTTACAATAATGTATAGCTCACGTGTGTCCTGGCTGGCTGCTGACTGTGCTCCTCTGCACCCCAACAGTAACTCTGTTGTTGTTGTTGTTCTTGGTTCTTTCGGTAAAGTCACGTAGAATGACTTTACCGAAAGAACCAAGAAGATGAATCCTTGCAGTCACGAAAGCTTTAAATCGAAACTCCGTTGTGCTTGTTGTTAGCAGCTGTGGGCCGTTGCCACCGAAACTAACTAGGTAACTGGCTAAAACGGGATTTTCCATGTAACATTTAAACATTGAATTGAATGTTCGAAGAGGTGAGAGTAATGAATACAGAAGACTCACACGGTTGATTTAAAATTGTTGTTGTTGTTGTTCGTGGCCGCAGGCCTCTGCCACCAAACTAGCTGGGTTGCTGGCTAAATGCTATTTTCCGTGTAACAAATTCACACCGAATTGAATTGAAACGGCAGAAGAGAAAGTCCCGAAGACGCTTAATAATAATAATAATAACAACCATAATCGCGAGCGACAGAGGGAGCTACGAAGAGCCATGGTGGGGCATATTTGACCTACTCTTCCACACCGACCACGTGTCTTCCGCCCAGCCGTGGCATGAGCAAGCAGTCTCCGCGCTGCGCCTGAACATCTTGAAAGGCCTGACGATGGCGTGGGCTGCCTAACGAAAGCGTTCCCCCGCGTGCTGCCCCTAGACCACGTGCTGCGGTTCTGGCGTGGCGTGGCGAGGGCCGGGCTGCTCGGCGAGGTGGTGGGCGCCGTGCAGAGGGAGCTGCAGGCCCGGCTCACCGGGCTGTGCCGACTCGCGCAGACCCCCGCCCTGCAGATGGCCGGTGAGCAGGGCCACACAGAGAGACTGCGAGGGGACACCGGACAACACCACAGAGACAACACCACAGAGACAACAACAACACAGAGACAACAACAACACAGAGACAACAACACAGAGACAACAACACCACACAGAGACAACAACACCACACAGAGACAACAACACAGAGACAACAACACAGAGACAACAACACAGAGACAACAACACAGAGACAACAACACCACACAGAGACAACAACACAGAGACAACAACACAGAGACAACAACACAGAGACAACACCACAGAGACAACAACACAGAGACAACAACACAGAGACAACACCACAGAGACAACAACACAGAAACAACAACAACACAGAGACAACACCACAGAGACATCACCACAGAGACAACAACACCACACAGAGACAACAACAACACAGAGACAACAACACAGAGACAACAACAACACAGAGACAACAACAACACAGAGATAACTACACAGAGACAACAACACAGAGACATCACCACAGAGACAACAACACAAAGACAACAACACAGAGACAACAACACAGAGACAACACCACAGAGACATCACCACAGAGACATCACCACAGAGACATCAACACAGAGACATCACCACAGAGACAACGAGGAGACACCAGACAACACCACAGAGACAGCGAGGGGATACAAACCATCTGACGTGAGACACCATCTGCGAGGCAAACAGAGCGCATGAGAAGACCACTCCAACTGGGCAATCAAGAGGCCGTCTTAGCGGTTGCCGCTGTGTTTTTGAGCCATTCTGCGCATGTCCGTCGTTTCACCCCACGTGCTGGGAGCTCCTCCAGGAACCAAACTGAGCAGCTCACGTCCTGCCCCCAGGATACAGCAGCGGCGGCCGCCACTGGCCTCGTCGCTTCTTGACGCCGACCGGCTCAGCCGTGTGACGTAGGCCGGTCGATGTTTCATTCGCTTCATCCCGGAAGCCGCCGCCAGGCACGATGAAGTGGGAAGCGAGCAGAACTGGGCATGACGAACCGGACGTCAGCGGCAAGCGACGTCCGAACTCGCTTCACTCGCCCACGCGGACCGGTGTGCTGACTTGTGGTCAATCAAATCCCCGATGGCAGACCGAGCTTCGTCCAGCAGTGGATTCACTTCAGAGGTGTCCACCGTTGGTTCGCAGGCACGTGTAGCGGACGATGCTCGGGAATTTCATGGAGGGATATGGTGAGCTCGGTTGTCACCACTTTTTAAATGTCCACACCTTTGGCCAAGAACACTTTAACATCTATAGAGGATCGCAGAGCTTGGACAGTTATGGGTGCCGGCTTATCCAGCAGCTGCTGCCTTCCCGCGTGTCTGTGGTTCGTCGTGCCTCTGGGTCATGCTCTCTCTACGAGATGTGAGCGGACATTGTGTCGCGTTGCATTAAAACTTTAAAATATTCATTTTGCATTATTGCTGCTATTGTTTCTGCTGTTCCTACTGTGCTGCTGCTGCTGCTGCTAACATCGCTGCTATTGCTGCTGTTGACACTGCTGCGTCTGCTGCTGGCACTGCTGCTACTGCTGCTCACAATGTTGTACTGCTGCCGACACTGCCGCTGTTTCTGCCGCAGACGCCGCCCTCCTTCACGGCACGGTCCAGAGCCTCGGCCTCTCGGGCCAGGTGGACCGGATGCTGGCGATCAACACGCACGGGGCGACCGCGGCTCGACGCACGGACGTCACGACGCACGGACACGGCGCGGGTGAGCCGCCGTGGCGACGCCGGTTAGCGCGCAGTGAGCCCGGGGCCCGCCTGAGTTCGATCCCGCTGCCGCCACCTCACCCCGCACGCACACACACACACTAACCCGCATTCACCTCTTCGGTGAAGTACGGTCAATCGACCAGTCGCGGGGAGGCCGAGCAGCGGTTTTAACGACGGTCGTCAAACCGAGCGAGCGGACGACGGTCGAGATGCATCGCCCCTCGGCGACGGCCCTCGCTGCTTTTAAGCCGCGACGGGCCGGGCGCGTCGCGGCCTCCGCCCGGCGTGGCTGGGAAACCGAGGGCTCCGTACCCCCCCCCCACCACCCCCCCCCCCACCACCCCCCCCCACCACCCCCCCACCCCCCCCCGCACGACCGACGCCCCCAGAGTCTCCCTGAAGTGGAGCCAAGGCTCACGCACTCCTGCTGAGGGAAGAGCGCCGCTCCCCAGCAGCAGGTGCACGGCACCCGAGGAACCTCGGAATGTGCCACGGTTGGGTTGGGGGGTGCGGCGGTGGTGGTGGCGGTGTGGGGGGGTGGGGGGTGGGGGGTGTGGGACTCTCCGGTGACGTTTTGAGAGCCGAGCTGTCGTCGTACGCAGGCACCAGCGGCGGAGTCACGGCATTGTCAGCTCGGTCAAATCAAACACTGGGGCACCATCAAACACTGGGGCACCAGTGTTTGATTTGACTCCCAAGGTGGTGAACAGTGGGCGGGGGGGGGGGCCAACTCGTACCTTTGGTCACCAGGCGGGGGGGCTAGGTACCCCCGGTCCCCATGCTAGTTACGCTACTGGCAAGAGACAAAGATCCCCCGTATAGCTTTCACAGACTGTAGGGGCAAGTGCTGTTGGCGAGCACCTATTAAGGCCGGCACGGCAGACGAGGGGGTGGGTGGCCAACGCTACGCCCGGCCGCCTTTGTCTCCCCAGCGGCGATGTTTACACATCGCACCAGGTACTCATTTGAGGCTGAGTCGACCTAGGGGAGGCCCATGACCGGTTCAGATAACCGTCACTGGAGTTGACCGTGAGCGGGAATCGAACTCGGGTCACCGGGTTCGTAGCGCAGCACAGCACTAACCCCTACACCACCACTCCCCATGCGAGTTACGCTACTGGCAGGCACGCACACACACACAAAGATCCCCTCCCCGTGTAGCCTTAATAGACTGTTGGGGGGGGGGCAAGTTTTTAGTTAGTGAGCACCTATTAAGGCCGGCAATGTGAATGAGAGGGTGGGTGGCCAGCGCCACTCTGTCTCTCCGGAAGGCCGAGTGTCATGTTGAGTCGACTTTATTTTGTTTACACGAACCTAGTTGCTGAGTCATAGACCCAGAGGCACAAGACGCCAAACGGCCAGCAACGTTCAGCACTATCGAAGGTGTCATGGACAAGGGTTAATACATTTGAGCAAGGTGGTAAGGACTTAGGTGATGGGACGGAATTTTTAAGTGGAGCAGTGCAAGGGAAGAAGCCGTAGAGAAGTGTATTGACCTGCAGTAGAGTGAGTGGGTGGGTGAGTGGGTGGGTGTGTGAGTGTGTGAGTGGGAGAGTGACTGTATATATGTACGAGTGAGTGTGAGTGAGTGTGTGAGTGAGTGAGTGGGTGAGTGAGTGAGTGTGTGAGTGGGAGAGTGACTGTGTGTATGTATGAGTGAGTGGGTGAGTGAGTGTGTGAGTGGGAGAGTGGGAGAGTGACTGTGTGTATGTAGGAGTGAGTGTGTGAGTGAGTGTGTGGGTGAGTGAGTGTGTGAGTGGGAGAGTGACTGTATGTATATATGTACGAGTGAGTGTGTGAGTGTGTGAGTGAGTGGGTGAGTGAGCGTGTGAGTGGGAGAGTGACTGTGTGTATGTATGAGTGAGTGGGTGAGTGAGTGTGTGAGTGAGTGGGAGAGTGGGAGAGTGACTGTGTGTATGTAGGAGTGAGTGTGTGGGTGACTGTGTGTATGTAGGAGTGAGTGTGTGAGTGAGTGTGTGGGTGAGTGAGTGTGTGAGTGGGAGAGTGACTGTATGTATATATGTACGAGTGAGTGTGTGAGTGTGTGAGTGAGTGGGTGAGTGAGCGTGTGAGTGGGAGAGTGACTGTGTGTATGTATGAGTGAGTGGGTGAGTGAGTGTGTGAGTGGGAGAGTGGGAGAGTGACTGTGTGTATGTAGGAGTGAGTGTGTGGGTGACTGTGTGTATGTAGGAGTGAGTGTGTGAGTGAGTGTGTGGGTAAGTGTGTAAGTGGGAGAGTGGGAGAGTGACTGTATGTATATATGTACGAGTAAGTGTGTGAGTGAGTGTGTGAGTGAATGAGTGGGTGAGTGAGTGTGTGAGTGGGAGAGTGACTGTGTGTATGTATGAGTGGGTGAGTGAGTGTGTGTATGTAGGAGTGAGTGTGTGTGACTAGTTGAGTAGTAGTGCAGCGGTTAGTGCACTGTGCTATGAACCCGATTATCTGATCCGGTCTTGGGCCTCCCCTAGGTCGACTCAGCTTCAAATGAGTACTCGGCCAGGTGTCAAAACATCTCCATAAGTAAGGGAAGACAAAGGCGGCCGGGCGTGTTGCTGGCCACCCACCCCCTCGTGTGCCGTGTCGGCCTTCACGAGTGTTCCCTAGCAGCACTTGCCTAAAACAAGTCAGTTCAAGGCTATGGAGGGTGATCTTTGCGTGTGCGGGTGGTTGAGTGTGCAGGACGGGACAGCTCAGCGTCCGGTCGAGCGTCAACGCGGGTTGAGGAATCAAGGAGTGAAGTTCATGGGGCGACCAACCCGTGGCGGGTCGCGTTAGAAAAATAATCGGGGAAGGGTCCCGAGCCGCATTCGGCTCTTTCAGGACTGCTTCGTGACGTTAGTTCTAAAGGAACGCCGCCTCGTATTCACGTGCAATGGCGGCTTTTGAAATATCGAGGGGCTTTTTTTTTTGTTTTGCTACCGAATTCGAAGAAACAAAAATGCCCCTTCTTGTTATCTTGGTTTGCCGACCCCCCTGGGCATGTGGGAGTTCGCCCGTAGCCACGTCAGTGTCCACCACCAACGCAGTGCGCAGCGCCGACCCGAACAGGCATCGCTCGAAAGTGGCTGTCGTCTTCGCGCGTGCGTGCGCGTGCCTGCGTATGTGCGGGTGCGTGAGTGCTGACGCTGTGTTTGTGTGGCTGCCCGCGGGTGAAAATGAGAAATGTAATTGGTGCTAAACCAACTCTGCGAAAGTAGCAGCGGCGTGCCACCGGACGCCAAACCTGCTCGGGTTGGCGGCTTGGAATTATCACACGGCGGGAGGGGAGGTGGCGAGGGATGGGGTTTGGGAGACAGCAGGGGAGGGGGGGGCGGCACCGGGAGGGGGGGGGGGGGGCGGAGGGAGGGAGGGAGGGGGGTACCTTGTTGAGGTTTGCACGAAGCGGAGGGGAGTGGAGACGGATCTGAACGTGACGCTCCGCGCGACAATCGCTTACTCATGACCGTAGCCCCGTACGGTCATCGCGACGTGCGCCGACCCGCGCCACGCTCGCGATGACGTCATCGCCGTCATCAGCCGTGTTCGGTCCACTGCTGGATGAAAGCCTCCCCAAGCCGCCACCGCCGCCGCCGCCGCCGCCTCTCGCGATCCCGCGACGACACAACGAGCCACCGGGCACCTGCGCAGGAACTCATTCATGTGGAGTCGACTTTTGACCACCGGACATCGTCTCCTGACGCCTCTTGCCCAAGCCCCGTCACGTTTTTGTTTTATTTCGTCGTGTCGGGGGGAGTTGATTTTTGCTTCACGTTACTTATTTGTTGTTCTAATTGTGTTGTTGTGACGGTGTTACGATAACAATAATCATTGTGCTTGTTTCACGCCCAAGGTATTTTTTTCTGAGTTGTCGTGCCATTTTGCAGTAGGGAGGGGGAGGCGATGTTGCAATTCGTCATCCCAATTGAGTCGTTTGCTAGGACAATTTTTGGGGATGTTTGGCCAATACCAGGTACCATGGAGGAAACTCCATGCAGAACAGGGGGAGAACATACAAACTCCACTCACTCACTCTCTAACTCACAATCGCACCCTACAGAACAGGGGGTGGGGGGGACACACGTACTCCACAAAGAGAGGTGCTCAAGTCGCTAATCGAACCCAGAGGCCTTCGGGCTGCAAGACAAAAGTGTCACCACCACGCCGCTGCCCTGTGCAACGTGCCCAACGTTGTCGTGGTAGCGATGATCATGTCCAACATTGTGGTGGTAGCGATGTTCATGCCCAACATTGTGGTGGTAGCAATGTTCATGTCCAACATTGTGGTGGTAGCGATGTTCATGTCCAACATTGTGGTGGTAGCGATGTTCATGCCCAACATTGTCGTGGTAGCGATGTTCATGTCCAACATTGTGGTGGTAGCGATGTTCATGCCCAACATTGTGGTGGTAGCAATGTTCATGCCCAACATTGTCGTGGTAGCGATGTTCATGTCCAACATTGTCGTGGTAGCGATGTTCATGCCCAACATTGTCGTGGTAGCGATGTTCATGCCCAACGTTGTCGTGGTAGCAATGTTCATGTCCAACATTGTGGTGGTAGCGATGTTCATGCCCAACATTGTCGTGGTAGCGATGTTCATTCCCAACATTGTCGTGGTAGCGATGTTCATGCCCAACGTTGTCGTGGTAGCAATGTTCATGTCCAACATTGTGGTGGTAGCGATGTTCATGCCCAACATTGTCGTGGTAGCGATGTTCATGTCCAACATTGTCGTGGTAGCGATGTTCATGTCCAACATTGTGGTGGTAGCGATGTTCATGCCCAACGTTGTCGTGGTAGCAATGTTCATGTCCAACATTGTGGTGGTAGCGATGTTCATGCCCAACATTGTCGTGGTAGCGATGTTCATGTCCAACATTGTGGTAGTAGCGATGTTCATGCCCAACGTTGTCGTGGTAGCGATGTTCATGTCCAACATTGTCGTGGTAGCGATGTTCATGTCCAACATTGTGGTGGTAGCGATGTTCATGCCCAACGTTGTCGTGGTAGCGATGTTCATGTCCAACATTGTCGTGGTAGCGATGTTCATGCCCAACATTGTCGTGGTAGCGATGTTCATGTCCAACATTGTGGTGGTAGCGATGTTCATGCCCAACATTGTCGTGGTAGCGATGTTCATGTCCAACATTGTGGTGGTAGCGATGTTCATGTCCAACATTGTCGTGGTAGCGATGTTCATGTCCAACATTGTGGTGGTAGCGATGTTCATGTCCAACATTGTGGTGGTAGCGATGTTCATGTCCAACATTGTCGTGGTAGCGATGCTCATGTCCAACATTGTCGTGGTAGCGATGTTCATGGTCAACGTTGTTGTGGTAGCGATGTTCATGGCCAACATTGTCGTGGTAGCGATGTTCACGTCCAACATTGTGGTGGTAGCGATGTTCATGTCCAACATTGTCGTGGTAGCGATGTTCACGTACAACATTGTCGTGGTAGCGATGTTCATGGTCAACGTTGTCGTGGTAGCGATGTTCATGGCCAACATTGTCGTGGTAGCGATGTTCATGTCCAACTTTGTGGTGGTAGCGATGTTCATGTCCAACATTGTGGTGGTAGCGATGTTCATGTCCAACATTGTGGTGGTAGCGATGTTCATGTCCAACATTGTGGTGGTAGCGATGTTCATGTCCAACATTGTCGTGGTAGCGATGTTCATGTCCAACATTGTGGTGGTAGCGATGTTCATGTCCAACATTGTCGTGGTAGCGATGTTCATGTCCAACATTGTCGTGGTAGCGATGTTCATGTCCAACATTGTCGTGTTAGCGATGTTCATGTCCAACATTGTGGTGGTAGCGATGTTCATGTCCAACATTGTGGTGGTAGCGATGTTCATGTCCAACATTGTGGTGGTAGCGATGTTCATGGCCAACGTTGTCGTGGTAGCGATGTTCACGTCCAACATTGTGGTGGTAGCGATGTTCATGTCCAACATTGTCGTGGTAGCGATGTTCATGGCCAACATTGTCGTGGTAGCGATGTTCATGTCTAACATTGTGGTGGTAGCGATGTTCATGCCCAACATTGTCGTGGTAGCGATATTCATGTCCAACATTGTGGTGGTAGCGATGTTCACGTCCAACATTGTGGTGGTAGCGATGTTCATGTCCAACATTGTCGTGGTAGCGATGTTCATGTCCAACATTGTCGTGGTAGCGATGTTCACGTCCAACATTGTCGTGGTAGCGATGTTCATGTCCAACATTGTCGTGGTAGCGATGTTCATGTCCAACATTGTCGTGGTAGCGATGTTCATGTCCAACATTATCGTGGTAGCGATGTTCATGGCCAACGTTGTCGTGGTAGCGATGTTCATGTCCAACATTGTCGTGCTAGCGATGTTCATGTCCAACATTGTGGTGGTAGCGATGTTCATGGTCAACGTTGTCGTGGTAGCGATGTTCATGGCCAACATTGTCGTGGTAGCGATGTTCATGGTCAACGTTGTCGTGGTAGCGATGTTCATGGCCAACATTGTCGTGGTAGCGATGTTCATGTCCAACTTTGTGGTGGTAGCGATGTTCATGTCCAACATTGTGGTGGTAGCGATGTTCATGTCCAACATTGTGGTGGTAGCGATGTTCATGTCCAACATTGTGGTGGTACCGATGTTCATGTCCAACATTGTCGTGGTAGCGATGTTCATGTCCAACATTGTGGTGGTAGCGATGTTCATGTCCAACATTGTCGTGGTAGCGATGTTCATGTCCAACATTGTGGTGGTAGCGATGTTCACGTACAACATTGTGGTGGTAGCGATGTTCATGTCCAACATTGTCGTGGTAGCGATGTTCATGTCCAACATTGTGGTGGTAGCGATGTTCATGTCCAACATTGTGGTGGTGGCGATGTTCATGCCCAACGTTGTCGTGCTAGCGATGTTCATGTCCAACATTGTGGTGGTAGCGATGTTCATGTCCAACATTGTCGTGGTAGCGATGTTCATGGCCAACATTGTCGTGGTAGCGATGTTCATGTCCAACATTGTGGTGGTAGCGATGTTCATGCCCAACATTGTGGTGGTAGCGATGTTCACGTCCAACGTTGTCGTGCTAGCGATGTTCATGTCCAACATTGTCGTGGTAGCGATGTTCATGTCCAAGATTGTCGTGGTAGCGATGTTCATGGCCAACATTGTCGTGGTAGCGATGTTCATGGCCAACATTGTGGTGGTAGCGATGTTCATGCCCAACATTGTCGTGGTAGCGATGTTCATGTCCAACATTGTGGTGGTAGCGATGTTCACGTCCAACATTGTGGTGGTAGCGATGTTCATGTCCAACATTGTGGTGGTAGCGATGTTCATGTCCAACATTATCGTGGTAGCGATGTTCATGGCCAACATTGTCGTGGTAGCGATGTTCATGTCCAACGTTGTGGTGGTAGCGATGTTCATGTCCAACATTGTCATGGTAGCGATGTTCATGCCCAACATTGTCGTGGTAGCGATGTTCATGTCCAACATTGTCGTGGTAGCGATGTTCATGTCCAACATTGTCGTGGTAGCGATGTTCATGGCCAACATTGTGGTGGTAGCGATGTTCATGCCCAACATTGTCATGGTAGCGATGTTCATGTCCAACATTGTGGTGGTAGCGATGTTCACGTCCAACATTGTGGTGGTAGCGATGTTCATGCCCAACATTGTCGTGGTAGCGATGTTCATGTCCAACATTGTGGTGGTAGCGATGTTCATGTCCAACATTGTCATGGTAGCGATGTTCATGTCCAACATTGTCGTGGTAGCGATGTTCATGTCCAACATTGTGGTGGTAGCGATGTTCATGCCCAACGTTGTGGTGGTAGCGATGTTCATGTCCAACATTGTGGTGGTAGCGATGTTCATGTCCAACATTATCGTGGTAGCGATGTTCATGGCCAACATTGTCGTGGTAGCGATGTTCATGTCCAACATTGTGGTGGTAGCGATGTTCATGGCCAACATTGTGGTGGTAGCGATGTTCATGTCCAACATTATCGTGGTAGCGATGTTCATGGCCAACATTATCGTGGTAGCGATGTTCATGGCCAACATTGTCGTGGTAGCGATGTTCATGGCCAACATTGTCGTGGTAGCGATATTCACGTCCAACATTGTGGTGGTAGCGATGTTCATGTCCAACATTGTCATGGTAGCGATGCTCATGCCCAACATTGTCGTGGTAGCGATGTTCATGTCCAACATTGTCGTGGTAGCGATGTTCATGCCCAACATTGTCGTGGTAGCGATGCTCATGTCCAACATTGTCGTGGTAGCGATGTTCATGTCCAACATTGTGGTGGTAGCGATGCTCATGTCGTGCCGCTGTTGCTTTGCCCTCAGCCGACGGTGGGACGGCGTGCGAGAAGCTGGAGGGGGCGAGCTGGCTGGAGGGGGCGGTGGCCGACACCAACGCCTCCGCGTCAGCCAACGCCGGGCGGCACGGAGCGGCAGCGAACACGGCGCTCGCGACGCGACTCTTCACTCAGCCAGTGTGACTCCCCCACCAATCCCATCACTCTGTGGTCCACCAACCCTCCGCCGCCGGGCAGCACGGAGCTTCAGCGAACACGGCGCTCACGACGCGACTCTTTACTCGGCCAGCGTGACTCCCCCACCACTCCCATCAATCCGTGCTCCACCAACCCTCGTGAATCGTGAACTCCACACAACAGGGCGTCTCACTCGCGTTCGCTCGCCCACTGACTCATCCACCTATCAGCTCCTCCAGCTGCATCCGACTCCACAATGAGAGTAAAAGCAAAAACAAGTCAAAGTGGTTTGCTGATTCAAATTTGCAGCGGGGCGAGGGAGTGGATTCTCATTTCCACGGATATAACGATTCATGGATCTTTACGCTCACAATACTGGCATCAAATGGCGTGGGTAATAAGCGATTGTTTTCCAATTCATCATACACGTTCATTGTGTCCATCGGGATCAGAATCTTTATTTATCCTGGAGGAATCCGACGAGCTATGAAGCTCTTTTCCACAGGCGTCCATGTCTATTCCACGACAGAGGAAATAGATTCGCTCGTCTTCACATTTACACTGTGAACTCGAATCTCGTCGTGATCCTGAATCGGGAGCAATCGATTTGATTGTGGACAGGGTTCACCGCTACATCCGCATCATCTCCCGTTCACAACACTGCGGCAGCTGCGGAAACGCCACCCTCGTGTGGCAGGCACTCGGTGGAACCTTTACGACAACGGCTTTTCGACGGCTCGCAAAGTCGCACTTCGTCCACTCACCCTTGGTCCGGTCGCATCGGACCCAGTTCAGCTCCAACCAGGATTGTGAGTTGCGCGCTCTAAACCACGCTCGGAGCCGCATGAGCCGGAACGGCTGAGAGACCGCACGCACGCCCCCCCCCCCCCCCCCGCCCTGGGGGAATTAACCTGGGCTCGCATTCCGGGTTTGCCAGCCCCAGGTTGAGCTTGTTTTTGCCGAACGTGAGTCGATGGCCTCGGCACGGCCACCAGTGGCTGCGCCGTGCGACTCTTTATTCGAGTGTGAATACTTATTATTTTTTGTTTTGTTTTTAAACAATCTCAAATGTAGTCGAACCCAGCTCTGAGAGCTACGTTTGCAAAACACGTACGCACATAGCGAGACGGGGCGTTCGGAGAAACCCCCTCGAATCTTTCGCGGGTAGCAGTTGTGCGATGGCGGTGTAGAGAGGTTTGAAAGAGATGTCACCGGGAGTGTGGGAGAGTGTGCAGCGCGCGTGTTCACGCGTTTGCGTGCGTGCGTGCGTGTCTACGTGTCTACGCGCATGTAGACTGGTACAAATACACTGTGTACAAAATTATATGTAAGTATTTACTTTGGCACACGTATTCTCTCGAAAGAACGCCCCTCTTTTCAAGATATGCAATTTACCTGTTGACCAAACCTCTGCAGCGCAATAATCGCCCTTAACGGACCAGCTGGAAGGACAGGAGGCGGGGCAATGGGAACTGTCAAGAGGAGGATGAGCAAGACAGAACGACATCCGTGCTTTCACTTGATTTGGCGTAATCCACCCCCGAAACGCTGCAACGTCCGTTTGCCATGCCGCGGGGCATACGTAAGGCTAGCTCACAGGCCTCTGTGTCGAGGCCCTTCTCAACACTATGAGGGTTCTAAACGAGAATGGTTGTCTCGTGCTGTGATTCCAGTAACACGAGGGGAAGCTCAATATATATTTAAAACAATCATATCGGATGTTCTTGCGTAGGGGTTCCGCAGAAATCACGTCCAGGCATGAGTCCATTCGTGCTGAATAAGCGTGACAATGCAGCGATTCGTCGGTGGTTATGGATTCTCATGCTCGCATTAATTCGTCAACCCTGTGCTCGCGAGGCCTGAACATTTACAATGAATGCAAATCGTATGCCAGTGTCACACTTGAGCCTATGGGCCTGACCAAACGCCGTTTTAAAAGGGGCGATGAAGGGAGAAACGTTACAAAGGAGGCAGTAAAAGTAAGAAAACAATTATATAACATCGTTGAATCGTGACCCCGCATCATTTACAGTCACTTTGCATAGGGAAGTGACCGGTTACACGCCTAGCGATAGATCGTTTATTATGTTGAAAACATTAACACGTAACAAACACGTGTGTGTATCTTGATTTGAAGCTTTCGTGACTGCAGGAATCCATACTCTGGTTCTTTCGGTAAAGTCACGTAGGTAGAAATAAGATAAAATAAAACAAACCACGACGTTTCGATTGCAACGCAAGCAGTCTTCATCGGGTGTGACAACCACGGCCAGGAAAAAAAACATTTTCTTGCTGTGGTTGAGATTGCTTGTGTTGCAATCGAAACGTCGTGATTTATTTTATTTTATTTCTAACTACGTGACTTTACCGAAAGAACCAATGAGTACGTGTGTGTATGTGCATCAAAATATGAGCATACGTTTGTGTGCCTGTGCAAATTCGAGGATGGCCATGCGTTCGTGGTTTGTGGACTGCACTACAATCCTGGCAACCTGAGTTCGATACCAAGTGGCGTTTGGTTTCTTTTACCTTGGTCCGGGCCTCCCCTAGGTTGACTCAGCCAGTTGCAATGTCATTACGATATTCACAATATTTGCGTGGTGCTGGTCATACCACCTTTTAACATGTGCACAATGCTCGCCTTAATAGGTGCTCGCTAACATAGCACATGCCCCGACAGTTGTGGGCAGACCAGCAGAGGTGACAGGGTAGCGTGTTTCTTTGGGTATGGCATCTCGATATGCAATTCTCAAAACGTTCTGATCTTCCCGGTTGTCTTACGAGGGCTAAACACTATTTTGGTTAAGTTATCATTCATTGTCCCAACCAATCACATTGGCAAAAAAAATGCTTACCGACATATAGACTTTGTATAAAAACCACTCCCTGTGTTATATAATTTCGTTACATCCTGTGTATATGTGTAGAGAGAGGCAAGGATACGTATTTGCACATAGGATATAGAGAGCTTTGGCGTTAAGAGCATTTGTATAGACCGATCTCTCCCATGGGCGCGACCTGTTATATCAAGGCGCGTGTGTGGCAGTCCGACATAAGCAGAGCACAATCAGTGTACAAAATCTGAAAGGTTACAACCGCCGTAGCTTGACCTCATCATCCAATTAATATGAATTGTAAGTAATACTAACGATAATGAAAGTTTAACAAACAACAACAAAATATAGTCGTCGAATGTTTCTTTATGACGCACGTGCGCGCTTGCTACTGCGCGCGCGCGCGCGTGTCCGTGTACATATTTGTAGACGCATATTAAAACGTGCCGTTAGTTGTTTTTTTTTTACCGTGAGTTCAAAATAAACGAAGGCGAGGCGCCGATTTCCTCTCTTTGCTCAGCGCCGACGTCTCTGGTTGCTTCGTCGAAAGAAAAACAACAACAACAACAAATACATGGTGTTGATGTATACAAAAACACACACACACGAGAGGTGCACGTGTTTGGCAGCAAAATGTTGGGTGGCGGTTGAACAAAAAAAGTGATTTCGGCAAAGCTTTACTGAGCCGATTGTATGTACGGTGCGGTTTAACTTCTTTCGCGCCGCACGAAGCCAACCGCGCTCGTCGGAGGTACGGGGGAAAGCAGGGGCGAACAAACGACACACAAAAGCAATTCCAAAGAAACGAGATTCCAGCGTAGGCGATTTAAACGTGCATAGCTCCCAGTGGCTTCCAGACATCGGAAGAACGTTCCAGACGGCCGCGGAAGCGCATCTGAAAGGTGACCGCCGTCTTTGTTCGATGGCCAGCAGAGCAAAATCCGCGAGGATGAGCGGAGTTGTTCGCGTGGCGGTGCATGGCCAGGCAATGTGGTTCATTTGTTTTAGACGCTGCGCTGTCGAAAACCGGTCCGGCGTTTTTCGCCCGTCGTGAAACAGTGCTGCTGAAATGATGATACGCTGCCGAATCGGAAGGCTGTGGCGGCTGATGGATTGTGCAATTAAAAAAAGATATATATGGAGATATGTGCCCCTACGTGAAGGGACAGACTTGTGAAGGCGACACGTCGTCTATTTATTTTGTTAAACGCCTTCAAATCAGTGCAGTGTGGGTAGCAGTGGGTGGCTTGGGAGCCCCGGTACAACGAATTAAATGGGGAGGGGATGGTTATACCAGAGCAGCACTGGTGGTGGCCAGCCGTGAGCCAGTGGTGGGGGATTTCTAATCACCATGGCATGGACGGGTTTGGTCGCTTCAAGGAGAGTTGGGTTGTGTTTGGTTTTTTTTCTTGCAGTTTTTTTTCTTCTTTGCAGAAAGGCACGCGCGTATAAATTATCTCATTGTTTCAAGGCTCGCCTCTATTTGGCCCGTGTTTGAAGCTTTCTACGGGCCGGTGTTTGTTTTTCTGACTAGCCCGGCACTACGACAGACAGGGCGCCTGTCGTAGTCAGGACAAACTGGTTTGACGAGAGACTACGGGGACAGTGTGTGTGTGTGGACCCCTCCCAAGATCGGCCTCTGTGGAGGAGGCTCGTAAAGGACGCTGCTGCTGCTGGGCAGTTGCAGGCAGTCGCCCTCCAGCAACAACGGAGGGCGGTGGAGCGACGCTCACAACAACGAGCGGAGCGTCTCGGGGGGGGGGGGGGATAAAATACAGCAAGTTGGCACAGTAGGGGCTACAGCTGGTGGTGCATCTACCGTTCATCTCAGCCAACCCATGGCACCTGCTGGGTCTGTCCCGAGACCTGTCGAAGAGCCTCCGACACTTCACGTGGCCTCAAAGTGCACCTAGCCTGGCACGGGCGCCGTGGGGACGTCACCGTCACTTCGCGGCGAACGGCGGGGTATTGCTATTGGGCCCACCTGGTTCAGCAATTGTAATTATTTATTGGAACCTAGGCATGGGGGGGGGGTCCTTAAAAATATGGGTCTGAGATTGAAGCAAACCTGACTGCTGATGAGACATCGTGTGTCGAATCCGGTTCAGAATTTGCACTGTGCTGAATCAATGCGGCTTAAGTTAGACATTGCTGGGAGGAATTTGGGCCGATGGGTTGTGTCAAGAATACTCTTTTGTTCTTTCGGTGAAGTCACCTGAAGACGGTCGAAACGTCACGTGATCTATTAAATAATTTTCTACCCACGTGACTTTACCGAAATAACCAGAGAGTATGGTTTATGCAGTCACGAAAGCTTCAAATCAAGATTGTATCAAGAATACTTCGATCTATTTTTCCCTTTTTACGTCGAGAGACGCCGCGTATATATAAAGGAGACGTATTATCTGCTTTATCTGGTAATTTGTGTGCGTATGCGATTGGGCAAATGCCAGAGGAAGGCAGTATATATAAAGGCGGCGAGACCCAGGCTCCACCACTAGTCTTCTGTGAGCCAGCAAGGAGTCGATGGCTACGGGAGGCAGATATTTGAGGCTGTAAATACTCTCTCTGTCACTGTAAACAACATTCCACGTAGGTGGCAATCGTGAGATAAGGATGATATGGAAGCGCCTCCCCCCCACCCCCGGGGATTCCCAAACCCCCATTCTTGTCGGCGCGCGCGCGTGTGCGGTGAAGCCCATCACTCGGAATGCACCCGATCCCATCAGATTCCAACAGATCCCATCAGATTCCAACAGATCCCAGCAGATCCCAGTAGATCCCAGCAGATCCCAACAGATCCCATCAGATTCCAACAGATCCCAGCAGATCCCAGTAGATCCCAGCAGATCCCAGCAGATCCCATCAGATCCCAGCAGATCCCAGCAGATCCCGGCAGATCTCAGAAGCCAAGCAGGCCTCCAGCCTGGATAATGTTTGGATGGGTGACCACTACGCGCGCACAAAGCAGGAGACATTGTGTGAGCAGCAGAGGGCAGTGCAGAATTGTTGTTTTCACCCCCCCGCCTGTCCCCAATTTTATCGGCAAACTGCAATGACCAGAATGGTGAAGTATGGTCGAATAACCCTTAAAAGGTCATACGGCATGTCGATGGTCCTCATCCAGCAGTTGCCTTGTATACCACGGGCTGTGCATGTAGATACGTGCACCAACCCCCCCTCCTACCCGTATGCTCAGTCACCACAGTGAACATTGAGCCCCCGAGGTTATGATGCATCGCACAGATTCTTAAAATAGCCGCGGGAGGGGAGGTAGGGAGGGAGCGGTGGCATCGCGGTTCGCGCGCTGCGCTACCCATCTCGGTTCCACCCGGGTTCGACTCCCGCTCACGGTTGACCACCGGTGGTGACAGCGATTGCCTGAACCGGTACTGGGCGTCCCCTAGGTCGACTCAGCCGCAAATGCCACTGTAAATAAGTGCGGCCTTTGAAAGCCTGCCCTCTGGCCACGTTCTCGCCAGCTGACGGTGCGGGGTTTGAGTCGGTGAACAAAAAAACGGACCCGAATGCGCGTACCGAGATGGCTCCGTCACGTGCGTTTTCGTGTGCGCGTGCGAATGTGTCGGTAGGAGGGAGTGTTGGAGAGCGGTGGTGCAGCGGTTAGCGCTGTGCTGCGCTACGCACCCAGCCACCCCAGTTCGATTCCCGCTCACGGCTAACGCCAGTGATGATTATTTTAACCGCTCGCGGGCCTCCCCTATGTCGACTCAGCCTCAAATTCGCACCCGTGTTATGCATAAACATCGCCACGAGGGAGACAAAAGGCGGCCGGGCGTGGTGCTGGCTATCCACCCCCTCGCGTGCCGCGCCGTCCTTCGTATATGCTTGCTAAGGGGCCGTCCATAAATGACGTCACGCACCTAGGTGGGGGAGGGGTGTCAGACATTTGTGACGATGTGTGACGATGTGTGACGAGGGGGGGAGGGGGAGGTTTGAGAAATGTGACGTCACATCAAAATGCGCAACTTTAAAAAAATATAAACAACACGTTCTACTTAAATTTTGATTTAAAGCTTTCGTGACTGCACGGTAAAGTCACGTAGAAGGGAAACAATAAAATAAAATAATAATAAAAATATCAAACAATTAAATTATCACGACGTTTCGACTGCAACACAAGCAATCATCATCAGGTGTGAAAACCACAGCAAGAAAATTTGAAAAAGTTTTTTCAAATTTGAAAAAAAAGTCGAAACGTCGTGAGAATTTTATTGTTTTATATTTTTATTTATTATTTTATTGTTTCCCTTCTACGTGACTTTACCGAAAGAACCAAGAATACGTTCTACTTAATACTGGTAGGAAACGTAGTGGACTGGAAGCCCAACCGGGATTAATTCACAGGAGGCAGGGGATTAATTGTGTATGTCTGTGGATGTCTGTCCACGTGGGAGGGGAGGGGAGGGAGGGGCTGGGTGGGGAGGGGCTGGGTGGGGAGGGGCTGGGTAGGGAGGGTGGGGCTGGGTGGGTGATGGGAGGGGAGGGGCTGGGTGGGGAGGGTGGGGAGGGGCTGGGTGGGGAGCTACTGGGTGGGGAGGGTGGGGCTGGGTGGGGGGTTGGAGGGGTGGGGGGTGGGAGGGGAGGGGCTGGTCACCCCGTGGTGCCCTTATAAAACTCAACGTTTAACCTACTCACGCCGGCTTGTGCCCGCCCTCACAGTCGGGCATATTTGCGGAATACACCACGTGGTGCCGCCATTGACCCTGGCCATTGACCGAGCAACCCAACGTTCCTACCAGCTCCCTCCGCAGGAATGTGTTTAAATAGAATTGTTATAACAACACTCATTTTGATAAATTTTCATTATTAACTATTTGATTATTTAAATTTACTAAGGTCACCTTTTATTTATTCCATGAAGGAGCATTTTGCTTCTCCATGAGAGAATGGAGAAGCATAAATTTTGTAAAAAATGTTAATGATTGTTATTCAACATTTTGATTTTAATGATTCTACCAGGGCTTTTCATTCTGTGGAATGAATGTGATTGTTATAATTGTACTCTCCATTTTGCTACTACAAAGTTTCAAGTATTTTTTATAGTTATAATTACTTTTAATATTATATAATTATAAGATAATTTCAATATAATATTCTGAACATCTGCAGTTTTATTTAGACGTTGAATATTTTCAAGTGAATTTTATGCTAAATTTCAGCTTCCCACCGCCTTTTTAATACGTATTTTCTCCTCCAACATTAAAGTGCAGCGCCACATTAAATACGCACTGCAATGACATTAGTTACAAGTGATTTGAAGCATGTTTTATTTTCAAAATGGAAATATGGTTTCGGGGCGGGGGGGGAGCAGAGCTTTGTGACGTCATATTTGAGGGGGGTGTAAAAATTGACCAAAATCGCGTGACGTCGTTTATGGATGACCCCTAACAGCACTTGCCCCAACAGCCTGTTATGGCTATATGGGGGGGGGGGGGTCTTTGTCTTTGTAGAGGGTGTGTGAACAGGGTTCCTTGTTGTTTGGAAGCCCACACAACACACAGCAGTGCTCTTCATTGCAGGACCCGGGGGCCACTGACGGCCCGCTGGTGGCCTTTAGTGGGGCCCCTGACAATAAACAAAATGTGAAAACAATCCCCATCATCATCATCGTGCTGCTGACAAACCTCCATGGTTTCAAATGTGTAATGACCCTCACACTGATTATGTCTTATCGGCGAAAGTGCCCGCCCCCCAAAAAAAATTAGTGAAGAACACTGGTCTACAGACTCACCTGGGGCCCATAGACTCACTTGGTCTACAGTGAAGATGAGTAAAGAACACTGGTCTACAGACTCACCTGGGGCCCATAGACTCACCTGGTCTACAGTGAAGATGAGTGGAGAACACTGGTCTACAGACTCACCTGGGGCCCATAGACTCACCTGGTCTACAGTGAAGATGAGTGGTGAACACTGGTCTACAGACTCACCTGGGGCCCATAGACTCACCTGGTCTACAGTGAAGATGAGTGGAGAACACTGGTCTACAGACTCACCTGGGGCCCATAGACTCACATGGTCTACAGTGAAGATGAGTGAAGAACACTGGTCTACACAAAGCTAGCAAATTATTGTTACAAGAGAGAATACAGCACAACAGGAGTGAATTGTCTCATATTTCTGAATTTCTAAAGCACTTTCACTTGATATCAGCAATAGTGTATCCATATATTATTGGCGTATAATCGACACTATAATACAACAATCGTCTGATAATGTATTTAATGTAACCAAAACTAACCAAATTAATACATTCTGTAGACTTCATAACAAACAATTCCCAACTGATGACGAAAATTTTAAAAATAAAACTGTAATTAACTTAACTAACACTGATTTAACCAGCGACATGATATCGGTCCTCTCTGAAGGTCTTAACTTTGCCGTTGCCCCAAGTATAATTCCAGTAGATTAGATAATTTCTGAGGTGGAATCCGCGCTATGACACCTTCCGTATAATGAGGCAGAGATGACTCGGCACGCGAGGTTGCCAAAATAATCGAGAATAGCAAAGTACCAAAAATAAATATTAGATTTAGCAAAGCAAAGGCGTTTAAGAGAGCTTCGATCAAATAAAGATATTCAAATTCTGGCGGCTGATAAAGGCCGCACAACTGTAGCGATGTCACGAGCGGCTTAGGATTTTAAAATTAAAGATTTACTGGAGGAAAGTACCTATATAAAAATTAAACGAGATCCAACTAATACTTTAGAACGTAAGACGACTGCAATACCAAATTAAGCCAAGGGCCTCAAAACCACCTAGACTGTATCGGCTACCAAAGATTCATAAAATTGGTATCCCATTACGATTCATAGTAAGTACAATAGGCTCTGCCACATAAATTATCAAAATATGTAACTAAACAAATAGTCCTACATTGGTAGGACATTCATTCATGAGAAATTCAGCACATCTTGTGAATGTGATTAAACATATTATAATTAACCCTAATGATATTCTGGTGAGCTTTGATGTGATTTCTCTGTTTACTAAGGTTCTGAGTCACTTAAATTACTCCATGCGCTAGTAAATAAGATATGTTTACTAAAAGATATCCCAAAACTAGCTGACCATTGTCTAAATAACAGTTATTTATTGGTTCTTTCGGTAAATCTTCTTTGGTTCTTTCGGTAAAGTCACGTAGAATGATAATAAAATAATAAATTGATAAAATAAAATAACACAATAATATTCTCACGACGTTTCGGCCACAACACAAGCGGCCTTCATCAGGTGAAGGGGGCGAGACTGTCTGGTAGGACAGCGCTGGAGTGAAAGAGCCACATTCAGATACGGCCTTTTAAGCTGTGTGAGAGGAACAAAGCGCCTTGACAAAGGAATTAGCATATAATTTAGCATTGAAATGGCTGAATGATTAGCTTGTGACTGGTCACAGAAATAGCTATGTTAAAAGTTAAAGCATACACACCCGCAGAGGCACCCATTGTTAAAGGAATTAGCATAGAATTTAGCATTGAAATAGCTAAGTTAAGGCATACACATCTTGACAATGGAATTAGCATAGAATTTAGCATTGAGATAGCTGAGTGATTAGCTTGTACCTGCTGCAGAAATAGAGCTTGTACCTGCTGCAGAAATAGCTACGTTAAAGTCAGAGCATACACAATCACCGAGGCCCTTAGTACAAATCAAACAGGAGAATTTAGCATTGAAATAACTAGGCGAATCCAGCATTGAAACAACTGAGTGATTAGCTAGTGACTGGTCACAGAAATGACTACACATCTGAGCTATTCACAGTACTATATAGTGAACCAATAAAAACTAAAATATAAATTACCTTCATGTTATCAATAAACTCTATATTCTCCAATCAGCTAAGCTATCAACAATAAGTCGTTATATATCACAATGCTATATGGCGAAAAAATGGGTGGATTCTTACCCTCAAATTTCAGCACCACGGATAGCTACGGGCCCCGTTCAGACGGACGAGTTCGTCCATGGTCGGAACAGACGAAGGGGAGAGAGACAGCTGCGAGGCCCTAGTATGCTCCATGTTGTAAAACTATACCATTAACCGTGGTGTGAGAGGTATTAAGAGGCAATGCTGGCGAAAGAGCTGCGGTCTGAAGGTCATCGTAAAAATACAATTAATTAAGAACAGAAATGATTTAAAACATCTTTCCAGTGGTTACTAAGCCTGAATCCATCTTCTCGGTTGAAATTGTCTCTGTGCTTGTATATGTGAATGGCCTCATGAACGAATCTCTCATGGTAGCCGGTTGGTTTGCAAAGAACCTCCGTCTTGGAGAAGTCAATGTCATGTGAGCCCACTGAATTATAACAGTGATCTGCCACGGCAGAGGAGTTCGTCTTACCGTGTTTCAAGTCTGCTTTGTGTTCGCGGATGCGGTCCGAGATATGTCTTTTGGTTTCTCCAATATAGCTCCTACCACAGAGGCACTTTAGTTTGTAAACGCCCGGGTACTGTATGTCTGGAACAGCATCTTTTACAGATGGAACTAAATCACGGATTTTATGTACTGTGTTGAATCGGACCTGGATCTTGTGTTTGTTCAGGATTTTGGAGATCTTTTTAGTGACCCCTGCAATGTAGGGTAAGGTGATGGTTTTGAGTGGCTCCACAAGAGGAAAACTATACCATTAACCGTGGTGTGAGAGGTATTAAGAGGCAATGCTGGCGAAAGAGCTGCGGTCTGAACGTCATCGTAAAAATACAATTAATTAAGAACAGAAATGATTTAAAACATCTTTCCAGTGGTTACTAAGCCTGAATCCATCTTCTCGGTTGAAATTGTCTCTGTGCTTGTATATGTGAATGGCCTCATGAACGAATCTCTCATGGTAGCCGGTTGGTTTGCAAAGAACCTCCGTCTTGGAGAAGTCAATGTCATGTGAGCCCACTGAATTATAACAGTGATCTGCCACGGCAGAGGAGTTCGTCTTACCGTGTTTCAAGTCTGCTTTGTGTTCGCGGATGCGGTCCGAGATATGTCTTTTGGTTTCTCCAATATAGCTCCTACCACAGAGGCACTTTAGTTTGTAAACGCCCGGGTACTGTATGTCTGGAACAGCATCTTTTACAGATGGAACTAAATCACGGATTTTATGTACTGTGTTGAATCGGACCTGGATCTTGTGTTTGTTCAGGATTTTGGAGATCTTTTTAGTGACCCCTGCAATGTAGGGTAAGGTGATGGTTTTGAGTGGCTCCACAAGAGGATCCTTCTTCATGACTGGAGTGATGGCTTTGCGGATTGTGTAGTCGGAGTAGCCATTAGCCCTGAGAGCCTGGTGTACGTGCTTGAGTTCACTGGTAATGTGTTCCTGGTCGGAAATGCATTGGGCTCTATGGTATAGAGTCTTGATGAGGGAGTTCTTCTGGGATGGATGGTGGTGGGAATCCGGTTTCAAGTAAGCATCTGTATGGGTAGCTTTCCTGTAGACAGAGTGGCTCATTGAACCATCATGTCTTCTTTTAATTAAGACATCCAAAAAGGGTAGTTTGCCATCTTTTTCGACCTCCATGGTAAATCTGATGGCTGGGTGTATGGAATTGATGTGGTCGCGGAATTGGTCTAGAGCAGGCTGGCCATGTGGCCAGATGACAAAGGTGTCATCAACGTACCTCTTCCATAAGGTCGGGCGTAGAGTGGCAGTCTGGATGGCGTCAGTTTCAATTTTTTCCATGAATACGTTGGCTACAACCGGAGATAGGGGGGAGCCCATTGGGGTGCCCTCAGTTTGTTTGTAGAGAGTTCCATTCCAGGTGAAGTAAGTGTTGGTTAAGCAATGTCTCACCAGGGGGGGTACATCAGTATGCAGTCCTTGATGAACCAGGTCTTCAATGATAGCGATGGTGTCAGGTACCGGGACTTTGGTGAACAAGGACACCACATCAAAACTGACAAGCAGGTCGTTTGGGGACAGGGAAATGCCTTTGATTGTCGATACCAGGTGAGTAGAATTTAGTACCGCAGAGGTGGTTTTTCCAGTGAAAGGTCGCAGTATATCAGCAAGAAAACGTGCCAGTTTGTAGGTGGGGGAGCTGATAGTAGAGACGATGGGACGAAGGGTGTATCTTCTTTGTGTATCTTTGGAAGGCCATATAATCTTGGTGGTCTGGCAGCAGAGGGCTTCAACGAGAACTGTTTGATCTCATCAATTAATGCTGTTGAATCAGAGATGATTTTGTTCGTTTTGGTGACCAGGCTGTTGGTGGGATCTCTTTTTATTTTTGTGTAGCTGCCATCGTTGAGTAGTTCTTGAATTTTGTTGTTATATTCTGTTTTGTCCATGATGACAGTGGCATTGCCTTTGTAGGCTGAGAGGACGACAATATCATCCCTATTTTTTAATTGAGATAATTCAAAACGTTCGTCTTTGCTGATGTTGCTGGGTGGCAACTTAGCGTTTTTGAGGGTTGCAGCGATTTCAGATCTTGCTACGTCTGCAGAGATGTGACTCAAGCCCTTGAGTGCAACGTCGACATGGGCAATGATATCATTAACCGGTGTCTCAGTGTGACAGCAAAGTTTAGACCTTTAGCTAAAACGGATTTCAGACCATCAGAAATGGAACTGTTACTGCGATTAATTACGACTTTGTTGACGTTTATCTTTTCGGTGTGTGGATCCGATTTTTTGCTGGAGAGGTGATTGAATTTGGAAATCAAATTGTCCCTACATTTGTTCGACATAGTGGCAGCCGAAGAGGTAGTCATATTGTCTACATGTTCCCAATCCGATGTAGACATTGTTGCTGTCAATTTTAAGTGTGATTTGTAGAGTGTCTTGTCTAACTGATCGAGTTCGGTGCGTGTAAGTCTGATTTTTTCCGAGATAAGAGCGAAGCTAGTTCTAGCTAGAATTCGTTTTGCATTGAGAGAAGTTGC